TTCCGATTGGTTGCCGCCAGATGCCGCCGAACCGCGTCATAGCTCATTACCATAAAGTTGACCTGATTTCAACTCTCCTCGACGCCCTCAACGTCCAAGTCGCGCCACGCCGCTGCTCGACGCCGGCCCACATTGAAAATGAATGACTTCCAGCCACTTTGACGCTCTCGACGGCGGCGGTGTGAACGCACAGTAACTGAAGCGCAGAGACTCGTGAGATCCTGCTGCAGGTTTAGAACCTGCGGCCTTTTAGTCAGCAGCCCAGATCTTCACCCGTTAGTCCAGCAGGAGCTGCTTCGAGTTTCTGTAACCCCTGTATTAACACAAAATTGAGTTTTTGAAAATAATGGTTAATTTTAGGATATTATTATTATTTTAATTTTGTTACAATTTTTCACTTCGGGTCAAGAACATGCCTGAAAAGTTTTGACAATCTGAGGTTTTGTGAAATGTGTATACAAAAGCTTTATTATGATTATGATGTTCAATTTGACCCACATTTTCATGGTTATGTTCAATGTTCATGGCAGCAAACCAAAAAAAAAATGAAAGTATTTTGATGCACATTTTTATCAGTTCAAGCACAGCCATTTAGCTGGGAATGAAACCGATGATCTTCTCATTGCTATCACCATGCTCTACTGTAAAAAGTATAATAAATAAATAATTCATTAATTTTTATTAATTTAAAATTAAAAAAAATTATTTACAATTCTGTTTATAACGTTCTTTTTTTTTTTTTAAAGAAAAAGTAAAAAAAAAAAGCTAAAGTTTTAAAAAAAATTGTTTTTTTGATGTAATGTGTGAGAAGTATTCATGTTAAAGGTTTACTCTTTTGACATGATTTATTTTTTCATAGTGTGATTTTTGGTGAATTGTATTGAATTTGTTTAGGTCAGTTTGATCTGCAGCAATACAATTGTGAGCCTGCAGCACAAAAGCATCTTAAGTCGCTGGGGGATATTTGTAGCAATAGCCAACAATACATTGTATGGGTCAAAATTATACATTTCTCTTTTATGCCAAAAATCATTAGGATATTAAATAAAGATCATGTTCCATGAAGATATTTTGTAAGTTTCCTACCGTAAATATATCAAAACTTAATTTTTGATTAGTAATATGCATTGCTAAGAACTTCATTTGAACAACTTTAAAGATGATTTTCTCAATATTTAGATTTTTTTGCACCCTCAGATTCCAGATTTTCAAATAGTTGTATCTCGGCCAAATATTGTCCTATCCTCACAAACCATACATCAATGGAAAGCTTATTTATTCAGCTTTCAGATGATGCATACATCTCAATTTCCAAAAATTGACCCTTATGACTGGTTTTGTGCTCCAGGGTCACAATTGTGCTGAAAATTTGAGCATAACACAAGAGTTAAACATTACATTTATATTTAGTCATTTTGCAGACACTTTTATCCAAAGCGACATACACTTGAGGAATACATAAAGCGATTCTTCTTAAACATGAGCTGAGCTGAATGATGTGTGTTTCCAGAACGTTCCCCCGGATCTGTCCATATGCACGTTTGTGCTGGAGCAGTCGCTGTCTGTACGAGCACTGCAGGAGATGCTGGCTAACACCGAGGAGAGAGCGGAAGGGGTGAGTGAGTGCTGCTTCTGTCCATCAGAGATCTCAACCAAAGCCATCAACATCTGACTGAAGCAAAATAATGAATGACCTGCTCCTCCCATAAAACGCTCACCATTATGACGTTCGACAGGTGATCGATTCACCAACAATGGATGGAGATGAGAAATCCTGTCAGTGTGTTACGGTCAAGAGTGAATGAACTGCATGAATGTGAAAATAAAGTCAACTTGCAGTGTGTTAAGCAGTCTTAGCACTGACAGAGACTGAAATATATATAATTTCCCATATTTACTGTATATGACAACATGTGATTGTGGTTGAGATGAGATGAAATAATCACAGTCGGCTCTAGTGATCGGTGTGGATGTGATTTTAGCTCGTGAAAGCGTTGATCTCTATATCCAAGAGGCATTCTGTCCTGATAACGGCGTCTGCAGATCGTAACGCCGCTGATGGTGCGTCTGTCAGTTGCACGAGTGTTGTGTATCAGGAGCAGTTTCACGATGATTGAACACTGATTTGATGTCACTCAGTTGCCATAGAGACAGAAGCATCAGTGCAGCATCACGGTCTGCCTGAATACAGCACACTTCACTGTCCCATTAATGTTTTACAGCATCAGTGCAACACTGCCATGCTTTTTGTCATGGGAACGATTAGATATGTTGAATTAATGTTTATCTATTCTATTAATTATCTATTGAATTAATGTTTATATTATTAACTAACAATGAGCGATAAACTTTTTGTAGTATTTATTCATCTTTGTTTATATAGTGAATAGAAATAAAACTGTTTATTAGTAGTTCATGTTAGTTCAGGTTCATTAAATAATATGAAAAGACACAACTTTTGGTAAATGTTGAAAATAACATTGTGATAGTTCAACCCCAAACGATCATTCTGACTTAATTTATCCTCCCTCATGTTGTTCCAAACCTGTATGAGATTCTTCCTTCTGTCGAACGCAAAAGAAGATATTTTGAAGAGAGTGTGTATGTGTGTGTGTGTGTTTGAGTACGTGTGTGTGCGTGTGTGTTTGAGTGTGTGTGTGTGTGTGTGTGTTTGAGTGTGTGTGTGTGTGTGTGTGTTTGAGTGTGTGTGTGTGTGTTTGTGTGA